ATTCATCCATCTACCTATCCATCCATCCCCCTATCCATCCATCCACCTATCCATCCATCCATCCATCCACCTGCCCACCCATCCATCCATTCACATCCATCATCCGTCCATCCACTCACCCACCCACCAACCCATTCATTATTTCTACTGTACGTCAGGCACTGTTTTTTCTCTGCAACATGGGTGTGCTACATTGTACCTCGTTCCTATCCAGTCATCCTTTGATGGACACGTGGGTTGTTCCCTCCTCGGCTGTTGTGAAGAGTGCTGCTATGAACACGGGCGTGCTAGTATTTATTTGAGTCCCTGTTGTCAGTCTTTTGGGTTCACGTGCTCCTGTGTTCTTATTGCCTCCCGGCATCTGGGGCAGCCTGACTCCTCTGTGCCACAGAGCCTGTGGGCCTGTGTGTCTCCATATGGGAGCCCCGCGGAGCTCCACCCCGGAGGGCCTGCTGCTCCCACATGGCCTCCTTCTCTTGGCTGGTGCTCCCTCAGAGCATTGGGAAGGCTGAATGTTCTAGATGCTGCAGTCTCCCGGGCTTGGGACACCTTCCTCATCACCTTTGGGGACCCACAGGTACATGGGCATATACCTCATGGTCAGGACGCTTCGGATGAATCACATCCAGGTGACAATGTTACAAAGTAGCAGACACGCATGGGGAGCTCATTGTCCCCAGGCTCTGTCCTGAGCCCTCTACGCCACCCTCTCCACACCATCTCGGTGTCGGGACCACAGGTGGTAGCAGCCCACGGAGATGCAGTCCTCCTGGTTTGGGCAGACCTCCCACCTTGTGCCTGTCTCCTCCCCTACAGGTGAGTTTCCAGGTGCGAAGCCAGGCCTGGCACCCGGCTACATTGTCCTCATCGTGGTGGCCATCTTTGCCTTGGTGACAGGGGCAGCCGCCCTTCTCATCATGCGCTACCAGAGGATGACCGGGAAGTACAACTTCAAAACCCAGTCAGACGACTTCAGCTACCAGGTGTTCCATGACTAGAAGGCCCCGGCCGCCCTGAAGGCAGGTGAGAAGCGAGACACGAGACAGGTCCGGTGCACAAGTCCTGCCTGCGCCGTCGATGCAGACCACAGTGTGTCCCAGTGGCTTTGGCAAAGGTGGATTTTTGGGTGTCAGTGTTTCATGCTTGTGATTTATAATAAGAAATATATATTTGGTCTTTGTCCACTATTCCTGGCACAGAGCTCCTAAAACCTTCGGTTTCCTAAGTGATGGGAGCGGTAAAGGTGACTTTTATTATGTTAATGAGATGACTCTTGGAAAGCACCCAAGGTTGGGGCTAGTTGCCAGGAGAACCAACCATGTGATTAGAGGATCGGAACTTTCAGTCCCACCCCGCTGATCTTCTGGGAGGGGGGAGGGGCTGGAAGTTTAATCAATCACCAAATGTCAATGATTTAATCAAACAAGCCTATGTAAGGAAGCCTCCGTGAAACCCTAAAAGGACGGGGCGTGGGAGCAGTTACCTAAGATATCCACCGTTCTCAAGGTGAGGTGCCAGGCATCCGGCAGTGGACACAGCAGCCATTGGGGTCCGGTGGGAAGAGCCCTCCTGGGATCCTTGCTGCCTCCTGTCGCTCAGCGGAGTGAACAGCAGTGGATTTCAGTTCACGGTGACACTCTAATCATAAAAAGTTACCTGCCTCAGTGTGGCGCCTTAGTCTCTGCTTTGGGTCATGAAGACCCTCTACTCACTGACACTGTTCCATCCATGTCTCCTGTCAGGGGTGCTGTCGTATGGGATGTGCCCCCCGGTGACAGGCCCCCACTCCCCATTTCCTCGCTGGGGCCAGCCGCTTCCCCAGCCAAAGCCACCTTCTTTGTGTTGGTTCCTTATTCTCTTGAGGTAACAGATATTTGAAACAACTCAGCAAAGTGTGGTAGATGCTGGCTGTAGCCTTGAAAGCAGGACATTGGTCCCAGGGAGCTCAAGTGACGCTCCCCCTTCCCCCCCCCCCTCCTGAGGCACACAGCAGAGGCAGATCACAGCACACTTCTCCACGAGGTGACATCCCTTGCTAGGTGACTTTATTTTCATCAGAGAAAGCGTCACCTGCTCTCCTGCCCCCTTTGCTCCAGGAACACCTGAGAGCGGTGTACCCATTATCCCAGGTCTCGGAAACTTACAGCCCCGATGGAAGGGCTAGGCCAGGGCCAGAGCCTGCCTGGAGAGAGTTATAAGGAAATTTCAGTGAATTTTATTTAATATTTAAAATGTGAATCACAAACACAGGGCCAATGCTTGTCCGGCTAAATGTCCCAGGAAATCTGGTGTGTGGGTGTCAAGGCTGGGCTGGATGTCTCCTCCTTGAAATCCAAACACCAGAGGGAATACTGGCCTCTCTTCTTATTCTCCTGGGGCTTTGGGAAAACATCTAATTATGTCTCACGTTCCTGCAAAAATCTGCTCTTTGAAAAACATCAACCAACCACCCAACCCTCCACACGCCGGTTGGCACTCAGCATGGGAGCCCTGTGTCCAGGGGGTTCCCCACAGATAGCACAAAGGCACAAAGTTCCTGAGGATGTGGTGGTCCAGCTCAGGTGTGTGCGCCAGGCACACCTGCCCACTGACATGCCCGAGCTTCACTCACTGGAGGCCAGGCCACAGGCACCGCAGTTCCAGTTCTACTGTGCCTCCTGAGAGTCACCGCCCTTTTGTTTGAGCACAGCCTCTCACTATCCAGCCAGCACAGAAGTTGTGTCCTCAGGGTTGGTGGCAATCCTTTACTACCCATACTCCAGGGGGTTTCCTGTATGAGCCTCTCCTTTGCTGCATGCAAACTGACCCAGGTGAGATTCTTCCTCATGCAGGTAGCTGTGAATTGAACTCGGTTCTTAATTCATCAAGCATTGATGGAAACCTACTCTGTCTCACATCTAAAGCTTCCATCAGCCCCCAAGATGATGAAAACACAAACTTCACCTGCTCCCAGGAGGCCTGTCGACTGTGTAGGTTCCAGACAAGCAGGCAAGTGCGAGGAACCATTGGAGAAGTGTGCAGGGTGTTGGAGATGCTTGGGACTCCAGACACAAGAACCTTCAAACCAGGCGTGAACGCAGCTCTGCCATCATCCAAATATCCCCCATGACCCCAGAGTTCCCTTTACCATCCATATTGGTCCAAGTGGCCCTTCCTGGTTTTGCTCACAACTGACATCCATCCATCCATCATCTATTCATCCATCCCTCCCTCCCTCCATCCATCCATCATCTACCCACCCATTCACTCATCTACCCATCTATCTCTCTATCCATCTATCCAGTGAGCCATTCTACACTCTGTCTAGTATATAATATTCCTCATTTTCAAAGATACTTGACAGTGCACTTGAAGCTCTTTTAACAATAGGTCAATAATAAATACGTTGCGGTGTCATGTTTAGTAGATGCAGGTGCGCATCACCAGGATAATGTTATTTACACAGAAGTGACTCAAAAGGTACTCCATTAATATGAAAATCTTTATAATAAGTAAAAATAACATAACTTATTCACTACTTTATATTTTCCCAGTCATGTTCACAGCCATTATAATCCTGCCACAAGGGGAGGTACTGTTTACCCATTACCCAGTGGGAAACCAGAGGAGAAATGGGGGACTTATTTACTGAAGGTCACAAAATGAATTAATGAGGAAATGGGTCTAGAACCTAAATGGTTTAGTTTAGAATTTTCTCCATTATGTCACGTTAACCGATGATGCTTTTTACTTTACTGAAAACAAATTGAATTGTGTTGGATAGTTAACACCTGAAAGTATAGTGTTTTTCCTTGATAAACTTAGAATTATAACATGATCTTTAGGTTTTGACTCATGAGATTGATTTTGTTGAATGTAATTAACCGCCATTAATACAAACATTTGGGGGAAAGTAAGTTTTTTAAATTTTGTTGGATATTCTCAGAGTCAGTAGAGTTACCATGTGTAATACTGCAGATAACCAATTTTGAACAAATAGAATAAATTGCATATGACATTGAGACGTGACTGTGCTGACTGCTCTGTGCGGTTCGGATGCTCACCCAGCATCCTCCAAGGGCCGGGTACTTTGGTGCACATTGTGGGAACACCAGGGGCATGTCACTGACCCTTCTTGAGCTGCATTCATTTCTTCTGACGTCGGCTCAGGACCTATGTCTTCTTTTTCCCGAAGAAGAGAAAATAAACATGCAACAGCCCGGGTTTTGCACCCCACAACTGTGTGGCTCTTTGGACTTAAAGTAGTTGATATGCATTTTAAAACTCCATCTTTAAAACTTCATCTACCAGTCTCATGTAATCGCAAGAAATATGCTATGTTTATTCATCTGTGTTTTCCGCAGTCATGGAAAACCTGGCCTCCTGTCTCCTTCCTTCAGCTGCCCCAGTCTCTTCCGTGGCAAATATTTCCTGAGCACACACCGTGTGCCAGGTCTGGGCTCAGTGCTGCTCATGAAAGTGTGAAAGAGCAGGCTGAGCCCGGCCCTCGTCAAACACATAGTCTTATCGGGGAGAGAGACACTCAAAGCAAAAGATGATGGGAGCCATGATAAGTGCTGAGAGGGACAAGCACATGTATTCTGTGAGGTACCCCTGACCTGGTCCATTCATCTATCCATTCTCCTCTCTATCCACTCATCCATCCATCCATTCATCCATCCATTCTCCTCTCTATCCACTCATCCATCTATCCGTTCATCCATCCATCCATCATCCATCCATCCTCCATCCATCCATCCTCCATCCATCAATCATCCATCCATCATCCATCTATTCATC